ATGTGCCGTGATATTGCTGGAATATTGCTAAAAGCGGCGTAAAACCAAACTCACTCACTCTTCACAGCGGGGACACGGGTGGTCCAGTCGTCTAAGACGCCGCGATCCCTGGGCAGAGTTGCGTCACGTGGACACGCCAGAATCCTATGATTGTGGGTTCGAATCCCGGTTCGCCCCGATTATATTTCTAGGTTTGTCAGCACCATACCCGTGATCGTGGGTTTCACCGAAGTGATAAGTCTGAGACCTGCATCACTTCGGGCTTTCCCCCAACATTAAGCTGACACGCCGTGATATAACTTGAATACTGTTAAAAGCGACGTTAAACACAACTCACTCGCTCACTTTTTCACACAAATGTACACTTTTTTACCCCACTGATTACTCCGAAGTTTCAATTAGAGTTGGCTTCTCTGCATTGTCTCACTCACTCACTCACTCACTCTAAGACACGAGTGGCCCAGTCGTCTAAGGCGCCGCAATTCGCTGTGCAGAGTTGCGTCCCTTGGGCACGCCAGCAACCTATGATTGTGGGTTCGAATCCCGGTTCGCCCCGATTATGTTTCCAGGTTTGTCAGCACCATACCCGTGCTCGTGGGTTTCACCGAAGTGGTAAACATCTGAGACCTGCATCACTTCGGGCTTCCCTCCCACATTAAGCTGACATGCCGCGATATAACTGGAATACTGTCAAAAGCGTCGTTAAACACTCACTGTCTTCTCAGCAGAAACGCCGTGACGTAACAGTAACATTGTTCGAGTGACGTTAACCCTATCTCACTCACTCACTCACTCGAGTCCACACAAATGCGTCCACGTGAACCTAAATGTCTATCTGGGCTGTACATATACCCGGCAAACATCAAACATATCACGATTTCACGAGGAAACATCCTTTTAAGACAGGTTCTCGATAAATGTATATTAACAAGGTAATTGTCGTTTTCTGGAGAATAAATCCTTTGATATGTGTACTTCCATAACATAACTTCTGAATTATGAGATTCCGTCACGAATACCAACTACAGTAAAGTCTCGTTTATCCGACACTCGTTAATCCGACAAACGGCTTTATCCGACACAAATGATTTACAAATTATTTAGACCCGTTAATCCGATAGTCTCGCATTCCGACTCCGACAAATATCTATTTAGGAGTGGTATTTGTTAAAAGGGCTACAAACATTGTGAACAATATGGTTTCGAGAAGAAAAAACGCAGAAACGAGTGACCGAATCACAAGCTATGCAAGTGGTAGTGTGCATTGATAGTATGGGGTACGAACATCAACTGGTTGAGCAGGATATAGCTACATGTACTTGGGTCTGTTCATACGGCGGATATGGCAATATTTCAATACTATAAACGAGGAACACCGTGAAAGGGCTTGCCGCATGTGTTCCATGTTGGGAGTTTCCATTAAACTCCTTGATCACCAGGCAACTCCACGGCCATTACAAAAAGTGAGGGATTGAACCTTTGGCGATGTCAACACTTGGGAATTTTACTACCAGGGCCCACATGCACAAAGCGATCTTACATGTACCTCTAAGACCATCTTAACTTAAATACTTAACATAGATTTACAATGGTCCTAGCGCTAAGAAACTTTTATACAAGTGGGTCTTGGTTATTTGGTTATTGGGTTTCACCGAAGTGGTAAACGTCTGAGACCTGCATTACTTCGGGCTTTCCTCCCACATTAAGCTGACACGCCGCGATATAACTGGAATACTGTTAAAAGCGGCGTTAAGTCCAACTCACTCGCTACCCTTTGAGCATGACAGTTTTCCAAACTACGCGATATTTTTTCGATTTTTCTCCTAAAACTGGTTGTTCATACTTTGAGACTACCTTTAGGGTTTACATTTTATTGAGATAACGTGTGATATCAAGTTTAACTCGCACGTGCAATTGATTATAATGTTTCGAAATTAATAAATATCAATGCGGTATCATTTTCCCTTTATGGTAAGGGTTGTCTACCTCTCAGGGAATAAAGTTATATGCTTAACGCCGCATTCATCAATATCCCAGCACAATGTGACGTCTGTCTGTAAATCAGTTTATGTATTATATGGAAATTGATTTCCAAAGAGATATGCTGTGAATAATGAAGAAAACTTTAACATAATCGACATGTTGGCTTCATTTCTATTGGTGTTCGAATTATTTCCGCGACGAATAAATATATGTACACCCCACACTACGAGAGTTTCACAGCAGTTTGGGGCTTTGGTGGAGGTAAGTGAGGCTTAAGAAGTTGAGGTTACTTGGTTGCACGTTGGTTTAACGTTGTTGACGCTGGACATCGAATTTGAAATGTTAACTAGTAGACGCAAGTGTTCAAGGTGGCAGATGTTGTTTTATATTATTATTATTTTGCATCATGTTTTATACGGAAGCCTTTTAAGGCCATTTGTTTTGTTTTTCTTGAAATTTCAAGATGTTATGTTGAAATGTCAAGATATAAAATCAAATTTCAAGATACATACGAAGTTGAAATTTCAAGATAATGATCTTGAAATTTCAAGATGATAAGTTGAAATTTCATGATATTAAGTTGAAATTTCAAGATATTAACTTGACATTTCAAGATACTAACTCATTCCGAGGTTGCTCATTGTCTTGAAATTTCAAGAAAAGAAATAAAAATACAATGACCCTAAAAGGCTTCCGTACACTTTGGTGGATGGTTACAATGACCTACCACCTGCTTTTGCCTCTCACGTACTTGACTTATGGAAAACAAGTGATATCACACATATTTCTATCAATTTAAAAATGTATGTGTGAAGTACCTATTGCAATTTGTAACACACATTTATTGTTTAAATATAATAGATGACTCGATCTGTATAATTGTCTCTTAAACATATTGCGGGATAGCGTCTATCAAAGTACCAGTACTAAAGTTACTGATTTAAATAATGTTTGTATGTCTTTATATTTAATCCATATATGCATAGGACAAGTTATCAGAACTGCAGTATATAAATTATACAAGGAGTTGTTTGATCATTAGACAGACCAACGCGAAATGAACATTTTTAAAAAGAAAATTAATCAGAACTAGATTATGAATCGTTTTACTCCAGCCGGCACGAATTAGAGACCTGGTCCCACTTGCACAAAGCGATCTTAGCGCTAAGACTATTGTAAGCATATGCTAAAGTATGGGAGTTACGATCATCTTAGCGCTAAGATCGCTTTGTGCAAGTGGGCCCTGGTCTTCATATTTGACCAGTTTGGTTTCAGCCAACAGCTAATGGAGGCTCGGCTTCTGATCGTTGAATATGCTACATGTTAGTAATAAGGTTTTGTTTGTTGTTTAGCGCCGCGCTCAGCAATACGATAGTTTCACAGGTTTTGTTTAGCGCCGCGCTCAGCAATATTCCAGCTATATGGCGGTGGTCTGTAAATAATCGAGTCTGGACCAGACAATCCATTGATTGACATCATGAGCATCGGTACAGGCAATTGGGATACGATGACATGTATCAACCAAGTCAGCGCACCTGACCACCCGATCCCGTAAGTCGCCTCTTACGACAAACATAGTCGCCTTTTATGGCATGCATGGCTTGCTGAAGACCTATTCTACTCCGGATCTTCACGGGTACTAACTGATAATGAAGCCTCGTAGAAAGCTATTGGCATATATCAGTTGCTGGTTACATTATGGGGGAGTCTTGACATTATGTTAAAGGGAAGGAAATTCCGAGTTAAAGGTTTGATGTAGACGAAATCCCGACAGTTTCGACAAAAATATTCCTGGTACATGAAACCATCACTTGATGTGGCCTTAAATCATCAGATGAGATGGGCGAAAGTTATTTAGGCGTTCGCAAGTACTATCGGAAACTTTCCCCCTGTTCAATTCCGGGTCATTTCTAGTGTCCACGGCCATGATATTGCTTGACTGATGTTGAAGTGGTGTATCACAATCCCTACTCAGTGACTCTGATGAAAATAATTAAATTCTCCTACGAGTTATGAACATGAAATCACATATGTTTATTTGATTGATCTGTGTATCTATACGGGGGCGGTATTGTCTAAGGTGACTCAACTGGCGGTGCAATTCCCGTGTTGATTCAGCTGAAAAACTGGTAAAATATGTGACAAGCCAACTCGCTCACCATTGTCACCATGACGTCACAATCAAATGACATCGCTAATGGCTTGGCGACTGAAGCTTAGACACTGCTTATTACTGTCTAATGATGATGGATGATAAATAAAATCTCACCCTCGTGTCTTTTGATGTCAAATATATCAACACTCGTTGATAAAAGTGTAAAAGCTCCCCGGCAAGCCTTGGAGTTTTTTCAATTTTATCAACTTATGACGATATATTTCATATCAAAAGGCTCGCGCATGTCGAGGCCACGCAGACATGTTAACGACTTATGAAGGATTTCCGGTTTTAACAATATGTATGAATAAGGACGAGCTTGGCGGGGGGGGGGGGGGGGGGGGGGTTGGTGGTTTGTTTCGCCCACTCCACATGCTATGCTATGCGATAAGCTGTTGTGTGTATTCATGAGGCATGTGATAACTTTTATATCATCACATGGACAACGTTTACACATGCATGCTTTGATTACTGAAACAACCATTTTTCTTTATCTTATCTTATGATAAAGATGTTATTTTACTTATTCAATCAAAGGCATTGGGAAATGTGATGTCCGGACCCTTGTTATCCCCAAACCCCTCGCCACTGTTCAACCTCATTGCAACGGGCCTCGTAAATCCGGACACAACGCATTCCGGCCAAATGCTGGTGGAGACAGGATGTGGCCCTGTTACCATGACTCGTTTATCACGATGGTAATGATTTGAAAAGACTTGTCCGGTTTAACAGGGTCCTAGATTGAATCCTTCCAGTCAAGTAAATACATCTTGATATTTGATATGTAAAGTATAATGACAGCAGTTGAATCATCAAGCTTAAAAATAGAATCAGGGAATTCCCCTTTTCTGAACTCGTAACCGCGCCAATAGGTAGCGACGGGACAGCAATGGCGCCGAGCAAGTCGAACTATGGTCACGCGATATTATGGTATACTGAGTGTGTCTAACACAATTTCTAGGTGAGTTGAATATTAATACACTTATGTGAGTTGACATGTACAAATAATACTGTAACATTCCACCCAGATATGTTAGTGTCTCTTCGTTCACCGTGATACGATTCTGTTACGGTGTGGAAATCACTGATTTGCGGAGATCTGTCATTGACACACAACAGTGTTTGGAGTTTTAACCCGGGCTGAGGCCATTCACTAGATATGGTGTCTTACGTCACAATTTCTGGAAGTGACATGTTGTTCTCAGTATTAGATAAACAGGATACCGGTATGTTAGTTTAGTTACGTTATCTTGTTCAGTGTCCCCTATATTTGGAGCATGACAACGTCAGAAACACTGACCCGTGCCACAAGCTCATGCACAAAAGCACGCGCGTGCACCACAGGAACTCGATATTGATCTTCTGTGGCGTGCACTTACTTCGCTATGAAGCAGGCGGCATGTTGTCGTCTGATTAATGGTAATCAAAATATTTATTTGAGGTATGTTGACCCTTGACACATGTGTAGACTTTATCATGTGTATGTATTTTGAGCTGGTGAATATCCTGCATTAGGAATTAACACTGCACGAAGCAAACCTTGGCAAGCTATTTCCTACAGTGTTTATTCGTAATACAGGATATATTTACTCGGTGACGATACAGTTAACCCGAACTTAGGTTAGTCAAGTGATATATTGATAATGACAATAACAAAACAAACCTCCATTTTTACACTACAAGTTGCTAAAGTAAAATTTATATCTTTCTCAGTTTCTGAATATGCGTGTGTGCAGGGTGTGGAGTCATCTCAGACATCACATCATTACCTTGTCAGTTTGCTGACGGGGGTTAAGCTCTTTGGTCATGTGGACAAGATGTCTGACCTCGGATGCGAAGATCCCTCAGGGTTAGAAACAAAAATTTGTCCACTAGTCCGTATAATGATAACATACAGCAAAACCCTTAAAACGGGCCAATTTCTACTAGTCCTTAGGATACCTTTACTATTGGGCAGTTTGGTAAGCACTACAGGACTAGTGCCAATTTCTAACGCTGTCCCTGGTTCGAATCCCATCACGGGACTCGGAAATTTTATGGCCGCTACACATGCATTCATTTTACATGTATGGGGAAAGATAAAGCTTCAATCAGTTTGAGTGTATGAATGATCAGATAGTTTTATACGTGTATCTAAATAGTTCTTGCCAGTGCTACGGGGCACGGGTGGCCCAGTCGTCTAAGGCACCGCGATTCGCTGTGAAGAGTTGCGACCCTTTGGCATGCCAGAAACCTATGATTGTGGGTTCGAATCCCGGTTCGCCCCGATTATGTTTCTAGGTTTGTCAGCACCATACCCGTGCTCGTGGGTTTCACTAAAGTGGTAAACGTCTGCGACCTGCATCACTTCGGGCTTTCCTCCCACATTAAGCTGACACGCCGTGATATAACTGGAATAATGTTAAAAGCGGCGTTAATCCCAACTCACTCACTCACTCTTGCCAGTGCTCCAGTAACACAATTCCTAATTGGACATTTTGTACCCAACTCATGAGACCTGCAGTGGGTACCCGGGTAGGGTTGGGTAACAGGGGCATCGGGTACGTGGGTAATAACTTTGGATGCGTCTCAGCCCCAAAACACACAAACACGATAACCTCCTTATGATATATTATAACATAATTTCTTAAATTCTGTAGTCGAAATACCTGTTCCCATCTCTTTCATTTGATACCTAAACATAACAAGTTTTCCTGAGTGAGTGAGTAGGGTTTTACGCCGCTTTTAGCAATATTCCAGCAATATATATGGCAACAGGGGACACCAAAAATGGGTTTCACACACTGTACCCATGGGATTCGAACCCGGGTCTTCGGTGTGACGAGTGAATGCTTAAACCACTAGGCTACCCGACCGCCCCACAGACTTTACTGGAATGCAGACCGCCTCCGTGGTCTAGTGGTAGAGCATCCGCCCGGAGAGCGGAAGGTCCGTGGTTCAATCCCCGGCTGCATCATACCAAAGGACGTTAAAAGATTGTACTTGTTGTTACCCTGTCTGGCGCTCGGAATTAAGGGGCTAAAACAAGGACTGGTCGGCTCGGAGTCAGTATACTGTGTCTGAGTGGGATATTCATGTTAAACTGCGGCATGGTATCTCAGTGAGCTAGCACTATAAATCGGCATCAGTCCGGACTAGTACAAGCAGCCACACAAACACACACACGTACATGCACGTCCCTATATAAGTGCAATAATCTTGGACGCGACATTAAACCCCATTTTACCTCACCTCCTGGAATGCACATATCAATATATATATATTACCTCAGAAGGTCAGTGATTGGTCAGTTGGACATTGACAACAGTCAATTAAGTTCTAACTGAAACCTGTTCTTACAGACAGTGGAATAATTACCATTTAGGCAAAGAGACATTATGCATACGTCATAATGTTTCTACTTGCTTTAATTGTGGCAATCCATCTACCCGTAGAGTGATTGCCCTTTATCAAAGGGAAGCTATTCTAGTCCATGAGACATCATGTTTGTTAAGAGTCTGCCTGACCTGTTATAACGTTATGAAATGAAGGCTGATGTCCGCACAACGACAAAATGAAACAAGTTAACGTTACTAACATTTATACTTAGGCTTAACTGTTTTGAAGTGGAGAAAAGACTGCAGACATCTTCAAGCTCAGATATGAAAACTTATGCTGTTTTGCAATATATCTCTCCAATGTTGCTAAAACGATAATGATAACAATTATGTCAGTAATTTGTCAGGATCTCCGATGGTTAATTTGACTCAATTGCCAATAAACAAGGGCAGCGCCATGTTTGTTTGTAAACACTGAAAGTATAGTACCTACCTGACCTTTTGTATTTGCATATATATTACTGGTGGGACGATTCACCGATGCATCAGTGGATCGCGATTTTTTACTTCCCGATACAAGTATCAATCACAGTGGCACACTAAGTGAAAAGTATCGATTCTTACTTTAAACGTTTTCTTGAATAAGTGTTACACCAAACACTACTTAATAGTGAAAATGAGTAGTGAAAACATAAATATTTTCTGCCATTGTGCCATATCGGACACTGCCAACTGTTAATCATTAGTGTGCCAGGTATTTTTCAATCCTGTCTATGAAAAAGATGGCTTACACACCACATGCAAGTATCACGATACGTATCGGTTCGTGAGCAAGGTATCGTGATACATATGGGAACTCACAGTTGGTGTATTGTCCCAGCTCTAATATTTATGCCTCTATTACCCCAACAGATGCCGTTTATATCCAGAGGCTTTATTGAATAGCATGAGAAGGTGACTCAGATAGACTTGCTTCAGTAAACAAGTTCATGTCACCAACAGGTCCCACATTATATTTCAAGGTTGTTCTATATCACAGTGGGGAGCAAGATAAAACACTGTGCCTACTTCACAGCAGAGAGAGCTGCACCTGCTCAACTCTCACCTCCTAAGATTACATGCACAATGATATAACCTTGCACAAGCCTACCATAATTCCTCAATTAATTGGCTGTTTCCATTAAGATGCCCAGGTCTTGATTAAGATGGTTTTGTATTAAGAGCTTGCCCCAAATAAGCACTGGGGCAGTTACAACTAATCACATCTACCCATGATTAGGGTTTTATGCTGCGTTTTTCAATATTTCTGTCATATCACGGCAGGGGACACTATAAACACCGTGTCGACGTAATAAGTGCCCTGCTCTAATAAGCACCCACAGCGATATTTGCTGATATATTGGCTAGTGAACAATCCCAATTAGCACCCCTTCCAATTGATCAATGTACACAAGAATTATTTATTCGGAGGAAAATACCCACTCGTGTGTTATATGCACCCTTAATTATGGGCAATTATATTTTGGAAAATATAACTGTCGTGTATAATACACATAGACTTTTCGTTTGTATCATTACAGGCCGTCACCATAAACCATGGTGGGGGGGCATTATGTATTCATGTCTGTACCAGAATGACGCAATATGTTGTAGTTCTGTTACAGAATGAATCACAATGTTGTATGTATGTTACAGTATGAATCACAATGTTGTATGTCTGTTACAGAATGAAGCACAATGTTGTATGTCTCTGTTACAGAATGAATCACAATGTTGTATGTCTGTTACAGAATGAAACACAATGTTGTATGCCTCTGTTACAGAATGAAGCACAATGTTGTATGTCTCTGTTACAGGATGAATCACAATGTTGTATGTCTCTGTTACAGAATGAAACACAATGTTGTATGTCTCTGTTACAGAATGAATCACAATGTTGTATGTCTCTGTTACAGAATGAAGCATAATGTTGTATGTCTCTGTTACAGAATGAATCATAATGTTGTATGTCTCTGTTACAGAATGAATCACAATGTTGTATGTCTCTGTTACAGAATGAATCACAATGTTGTATGCCTCTGTTACAGAATGAAACACAATGTTGTATGTCTCTGTTACAGAATGAAACACAATGTTGTATGTCTCTGTTACAGAATGAAGCATAATGTTGTATGTCTCTGTTACAGAATGAAACACAATGTTGTATGCCTCTGTTACAGAATGAATCACAATGTTGTATGCCTCTGTTACAGAATGAAACACAATGTTGTATGTCTCTGTTACAGAATGAATCACAATGTTGTATGTCTCTGTTACAGAATGAATCACAATGTTGTATGTCTCTGTTACAGAATGAATCACAATGTTGTATGTCTCTGTTATAGGATGAAACACAATGTTGTATGTCTCTGTTACAGAATGAATCACAATGTTGTATGTCTCTGTTATAGGATGAATCACAATGTTGTATGTCTCTGTTACAGAATGAATCACAATGTTGTATGTCTGTTACAGAATGAATCACAATGTTGTATGTCTCTGTTACAGAATGAATCACAATGTTGTATGTCTCTGTTACAGAATTAATCACAATGTTGTATGTCTCTGTTATAGGATGAAACACAATGTTGTATGTCTCTGTTACAGAATGAAACACAATGTTGTATGCCTCTGTTACAGAATGAATCACAATGTTGTATGTCTCTGTTACAGAATGAATCACAATGTTGTATGTCTCTGTTACAGAATGAAGCATAATGTTGTATGTCTCTGTTACAGGGTGAATCACAATGTTGTATGTCTCTGTTACAGAATGAATCACAATGTTGTATGTCTGTTACAGAATGAATCACAATGTTGTATGTCTCTGTTACAGAATGAATCACAATGTTGTATGTCTCTGTTACAGAATGAATCACAATGTTGTATGTCTGTTACAGAATGAATCACAATGTTGTATGTCTCTGTTACAGAATGAAACACAATGTTGTATGTCTCTGTTACAGAATGAAGCACAATGTTGTATGTCTCTGTTACAGTATGAATCACAATGTTGTATGTCTGTACAAGAATGACGCAATATGTTGTAGTTCTGTTACAGAATGAAGCACAATGTTTTATGTCTGTTACAGTATGAATCACAATGTTGTATGTCTCTATTACAGAATGAATCACAATGTTGTATGTCTATGTTGCAGGATGAATCACAATGTTGTATGTCTGTTACAGAATGAATCACAATGTTGTAAGTTTCTGTTTCAGAATGAAGCATAATGTTGTATGTATAATACGGAATGAAGCATAATGTTGTATGTCTGTTACAGGATGAATCACAATGTTGTATGTCTCTGTTACAGGATGAATCACAATGTTTTATGTCTCTGTTACAGGATGAATCACAATGTTGTATGTCTCTGTTACAGGATGAATCACAATGTTGTATGTCTCTGTTACAGAATGAAGCATAATGTTGTACATCTGTCTTACAGAATGAAGCATAATGTTGTACGTCTCTGTTACAGAATGAACAAGGGCATCAGAACCTGTTCAGTTCTAGACCAAGCTCAGGAAGATGAAAAAGGTTGCAATCATTGTTATCGTTGTCATCGTGGTCATCATCGTTGTGGTCACTGACCAGGTACACACAACAGAAACTGGTAAGGACTCTGCATGTTTATCTGTTCAAGTCTGACACTGTAGACATTGGTTGCCTGGTGCTTCCTTGTATTCCATACACCGACCCTGCATCCAAGTGTACTCTCATTTGTAGGGCCTCTGTTTTAATTTGGTGTTTCTCGTCTCTCATAAGTCCCCTGCACCCGAAGTATAAAAGGATTTCACTTTTGAAGTATTTCTATATAATTTGCCACCAATCTGTTGTGTGCCGCTATTATGCATGCCAGCTAGTTGGTTATAAGAGTATTTTACTTTTTCAAAGAATTCACACAAACCCCATCCTTGTTCTTTGGAAAGTAATTGTACAAATTTTAGGAATACCTAACTCTCTAAATGAAGAAAGATGGTGTTTGTGTGAATTTAATTGTGCGAGACCCACTTATTAACAACCACGGCAAATCCACATTTTACTATAGAGGTAAACTATGTTTATGATGAACACGCTTATAACAAACTCACGGATATAACAAACTGTTTTTTTGTCTCAACCTTATGCTGTGTATAATAATGAACCTAAATTAGTGGTCCCTTTGAGTTCGTTATAACCGATTATAACCGTTGGTTTACACCTTTGCATAAGGTATGATTTGTTGTATTCAACTTTATAAAATAATGTAAACTCAATTTGTAATATCAGTCACTGTGTAATATCAGTCACTGTGTAATATCAGTCAATGTGTAATATCAGTCAATGTGTAAAATCAGTCAATGTGTAATATCAGTCAATGTGTAATATCAGTCAATGTGAAATCAGTCAATGTGTAATATCAGTCAATGTGAAATCAGTCAATGTGTAATATCAGTCAATGTGAAATATCAGTCAATGTGTAAAATTACTGTAATTGTCACTTTCATAAATTGACTGAAAACCTGACCATTTATTGTACTATGAGAACTAAGTCCAAATGTTTTGATGATAAAATTTCACACAGTGTCAGATTGGATTAACAGGAAACGAAAGTCAATGTATATATGTATATTATATTTTTTTCTTTGGGTGTGGTGAATTGGGGGTCTTCCAATCCAAGCATTATTCATCTTCCCGGGGCAAGGGAGTTAACTGACTATAAAAGTCCAGTTTCCACCCTTGCCGAACTAGGGTGGTATTATGGAGTTACATTTTTGCTGGACTAACGAGTCTATGCATAGTCCAATCAAAATCGCGCAACGAAATCGAAATCCGGTTCGTAAACTGTCGTGCAGATTTCGGATTTTGATGCACTTCGCTATGTAAGACTCGTTTTATCACAATATAGATCTTTATTATCGATCATATCGTTTTGACTCGGCGCCACCATTTGGTCTGAAGCAAATGCAAGTGATACGAGAGGTGGAATCTGATTGGTCCATAGGAGAGGTACAGAAGGGACACAATTGGTAATAGCCACTGGTGGCACTACGGTCGAGCCCAGGAATTCCAGCCTAGTTCGGTCAAGGGTGGAAACTGGACTTTTAAAGTCAGTTAACTCCCTTGCCTCGGGAAGATGAGCATAATTAGTCTAATGGGGTTTATCTCACCTACACTCAGCACAAATTAATAGGGATTAACTGTACTGCCTGGATGGTCATGGCGTTATAGTCTATATGTGTACAGAGGGCTAAGTATAGAGTCATCTTCCTGAGGCAAGAGCATCCACTAGCCTTTTTATCAAATCTTGTTTCCACCCTTGCCACATCAAGCCCACTTTCCTGTGCTATATATGATTTGATTATTGCACATCAATAGTCCAATCAGAGAATGTTTCACACTATCAACATCCACGACTGGTACACCTTCGAAGAAAAAGTGATTTAATGCTGGAATATGTCTTTTTTATCTTTTAACCCCTCCAACAATTGCCTGTGTTTGCCTGTCATGTGTTTGAAACCTATGATTGTGGGTTCGAATCCCACATCACCCCGATTATGTTTCTAGGTTTGTCAGCACCATACCCGTGCTCGTGGGTTTCCCCAAAGTGGTAAACGTCTGAGACCTGCATCGATTCAGGCTTTCCTCCAACATTAAGCTGACATGCTAAAAATGGCGTTAAACCCAACTCATTCACTAAATATTAGAGTATTTCACAGTATGTAATGTGGAACGGACTATACCCTGCATGCCCATTGTGTAGGGATTATCCCAACATTCCTCTTTAATGAGAGATCAATAGGTACTGGGCAAGTGATGGACCCATCTAATGTGATGTTTATAAGCCTTTTTGAATTTAAAGTAGTCTTTAGTCAATCTGTCAATTTATAAAATAACTGAAATATTTAGGAATTATTAATTGCCTAAGTGAATCACTTTTTAAGCATTGACTGATTTTACAGATTTGTACAATGAATGAAAACAATATCAGCACACATCTCTAAGAAAATATCAGTTAGCACAATCTGAATTAAGTTTGTAAAACATGGTCGAATATCTTGACAATTGGTGTGTACAATGTACCTCTGAAACACAGTGACACAATTGAACTTTTTGTCAATGTTCAAATTTCCAATGGTATGACATAGAATTCTCTGAAATAGGTCGGTGTTGGTATTTTTCTGCTTTATTAGCACATCAGCTATCTGTATAGGCTATTTAGCCTCTGTTATGTTTTCCTTTAATCACATTTCATTTTTTTTAAATCAGAGGAAATAATTTGCAAGATAAGAGAATTCATATTCAACTTGGTACAATACTATCATAACAGCAACAAAGTAATGTTATCATAACACATAAGATAATAACAGGGTATGAAACTCCCAAAAATTTCAGCCAGACCACAGGACTGGCTAGCTGAAATACTTGCCAGCCCTGACCAAAACCTGCCTGCCCACTATAATCGTGTTTCTCAGGATAAGCTAACGGGGTTTCTTTTTGGTTACATTTTATCATTCATCTTTACATGTGAATTAATGCTTATCATGGGGAAATATTTTGAATATTTTCACATATGAAATATAACCCGACCGTCGGGCAGGGGGATTTGAAAATCTGGCAGCCCGAGTTGAAATCAACCCGTCTCGGACGGTCGGGCAGGCAGGTATTTCGAACACTGATAATAACAGCAACGAGGAAAATGTTCAGAAATAATCATGAAAGTTATCAAGTGTTCTCATTAAATTTTTTTTTCTTTTGATTCATTTAATTTATATAGCATATAATCTGTCCGATTCTAAATCATATCTCATGCAGAGAAAGAACATGACTTTAATTCTTTAAATAGTGATCTGTTTCATCAATTTAATCAATGTCTCGTTAGAAGCCCTTCTGGTAGATTTACCAAAAATCTGTTTGACAAAAAAACCCACCAAAAACATGTTTGATCTATTCTTGAGGTCTTTTTGTCATAATATTTATGAAGATTCATAATTCTTTTTTGATTCTCATGACTCAATTAGGATGTATATTGTAGAGAAATTTAAAGCATTATTGCAAACTAATAACAATAAATTTAAGATTTTAATCTTTAAATTTTTGAGTTTTTGGAATCAAAACTGACATATTGTTTTAAATTTTTGAGTTTTTGGAATGAAAACTGACATATTGTTTTCAATGTGTTCATGGATGATATTTAGGAATGGGACAAAGTGTTTATCTAGGAGAACCATTGCGTGCATGTATGCATGTGAAGCATATGCATAAAAAGTGCATGTTCATTGTTGCATGTTTGCAGCATGACACAGGTTGCATAGCAAAGAGGTAACACTCTTGCAGTGAGATGATTGATACTTTATTGATTGAAGCCTCAATGCTTGGCTTGTCCGTGTGACGTGCTCAAACACGCGGTGCTGCCAATTCCAGGGGGCAGCTCTCATGCTCTGATAGGCAGTTCTGACTCACGGACTCACCGACTCACCGACTCACTCACACCTGCAGATATCTTTTACCCATCAAATGTGTCTCTTCAGCAAATAACCAACAAGAATGGCTGGATATTAGTAAATGAGAGAATCAATTAGGGATAGGAGAAGAAGAAATATACTACCCGGGTACCCGACCCCCTATTACCCGGGTACCCGACCCCCTATTACCTGACCCTACCCGGGTACCTGTCCCCCTATTACCTGGGTACCTGTCCCCCTATTACCCGGGTACCCCACCCCCTATTACCCGGGTACCCCACCCCCTATTACCCGGGTACCCCACCCCCTATTACCCGACCCTACCCGGGTACCAACTGTTGGTCTCAAGTTGGGTACAAAACGTTCAATTGGAAATTGTTTTACTGGAGCCCTGGCAAAAAGTATTTTTAGATATGGTACAAAACGATCTCATTTTGCTGAAGTCTTTATTCAAACGTGTAAAAGTCAGGAGGAATGTGTGCATAGTCAGAAAGAAATGGGAACATTAGTGACTTGTAGTGTAACCATGCAATTCTTTTTGTTATTGTCATTAAACGATACATCACATGACTAACCACGGATCCGGGTAGTCCTGTGGGTACCCGGGTCCTGCTGAGGACCCACCCAACCCGAGTATATTGGTCAACAAGTTAGACACATTGGAAACATCTCGTCTTAATGTACATACTTCTCTATATGTTTCTATTGGTCGCCTTTCTTTTGGTGGTGAGTATATCAAGGTAGCAATATTTGTTTTACTTCTATTTCGTACAATGAAGATGTCAATCTGAATTAACTTTTTATGTAGATCTTTCACTCTCATGATCTGATAACCCTCCTCCGGGGGTTTCATGAACTGTATGTTCTCGTGTGGTACATACACAGGTGGTGCCATGCTTGTTGTAGGGATCAAATGACTGATATGCACTTCATTTCTTTCTTAGGTGTCTCTTAAACAGTACATTAAGGCAAAATATGTATTATTTCGTAAAAGGGCTACGATCTGAATTCAATTTTAAATGGTAATTCACATTTTGAAATCAGTGCAGTTTTATTCCATCTTCTTTGCCGATTTAGAGATTTTGTCTGAGATGTTGGCTTTGCTATATGATACTGCCATGTTGTTGTGCTGGATCCAATAATAAAACACTTACTTAACAATAATCACTTTAATGTCAGTTATATAATGTACGCTATTTCTCATGTCACTTGGGGCACGGGTGGCCAAGTCGTCTAAGGCGCCGCGATTCGCTGTGCAGAGTTGCGTCCCTTGGGCACGCCAGAAACCTATGATTGTGGGTTCGAATCCCGGTTCTCCCCGATTATGTTTCTAGGTTTGTCAGCACCATACCCGTGCTCATGGGTTTCACCGAAGTGATAAACGTCTGAGACCTGCATCACTTCGGGCTTTCCTCCCACATTAAGCTGACACGCCACGATATAACTGGAATATTGGTAAAAGCGGCATTAAACCCAACTCACTCACTCACGCCACTTTCAATAATTGTAATTTGTATGTGTATCATGTTTGGGAGAGGCATTCAGATAAGCAACATTTACTTATCCCTCCAATGTATATATCAAATGACTGAAACAGAACCTGGATATCTTTCCAGTTGTAGCGCCAAGAGTGAGTGAGTTGGGATTAACACTGCTTTTAACAGTATTCCAGTTATATCCCGACATGTCAGCTTAACTCACTCACTAACTTAATGTGGGAGAAAAGCCCAAAGTGATGCAGGTCTCGGATGCATTTGTCTGGACTAGTACAAGCAGCCCCACACACATTTGCATGCATGTCGCTATATAAGTGCGATAATCTTGGACGCGAGGGTAGACCTCATTTTACCCCACCTCATGCCATCACTTCATTGTGTGCAGGGCGGAACATAATATAACAAAATACTTCTAACTGAGACATTCAAGGACAATCATGCTCTCGCTTTCAAGAGCTCAATGTGTTTCCTGTGTAGCTCAATACTGGATGAACAGCCCCTTGATGATGACTCAGATAAGTAGGTCACGTTTGAACTGACAATGTGTCTGGTGATATGTTTCTGCGGACATAAGCACTTGTCAAATCTCAAACTTACTGTGATTATTTACACATTTATCCTGTTTTTTATTTGATTGTTTTTAGAGATCATTACTCCTCACTTTTTCTTTGTCCATTGATCGGGGGCACGGGCAGCCCAGTCGTCTAAGGCGCCATGATTCGCTGTGCAGAGTTGCGTCCCTTGGGCACGCCAGAAACCTATGATTGTGGGTTCGAATCCCGGTTTGCCGTTTACATCTGAGACCTGCATCACTTCGGGCTTTCCTCCCACATTAAGCTGACATACCGCGATATAACTGGAATACTGTCAAATGTGGCATTAAACCCAACTCTCTCACTAATATGTAGATTTTGTAACTTTATGTGGGTACAGGCTCAACTTTGTCCGCAAGCCCACCATTTCCACAGGTTGAGCATAGCTGTCTGTCTCCTTTTTGAAGCCCCAGGTAATCAATCGCCTTATTTGCAAAAACACCTGTGTGTTTGGTCAGCCATGGGCATAGCTCACCTGCCCCAGATGTCATGAATGAAACAATTAGCATCTCATTAGCTGTTAGTTGTGTTATTGTTTGCTATAAATAATAGATCACATGTAATTTAGTATCTATATGCCCACTTACATACTTGTATATTAGACCTGTGAAGGTCAGGGGTAGAATAGGTCTTCAGCAACCCCTGCTTGCCGTAAAAAACGACTGCGTAAATGGCAACGAACAGGATCGGGTGTTCAAGCTCACTGACTTGGTTGATGCATGTCAACGTATCCCAATTGCATGGATCAATGCTCCTGATGTTTTTCTGACAGAGATGAGGTCTCCCATATACCCACAACACTTCCGTAATACAAAGGTTATCTGTACAGACTCTGTGCCGCAATTTCCTTCCTGTTGGTATGCCCCTCAGTTTTGAAAGTCTAATCAAGCCACTGTAACATGCAGAGACTTTCAAGGTTCGTCCCAGCACACATCGCCTTCATCACACTCCCGGTCACATCACTGTCGCCATTGTATTATCGGCCATTACAGAAATCTTGAAATTTGCCCTCTAACCCAAAACATTTATGTTTCTCTATATTTCTTCGGAATACCATCACAGTGACTTTTGAAATTTTTATGACTGACTTACTATTTCTCAGATGAATTCATGTTTTATTTGTTTAATCAGATTGGTTTGACATCGCAGACTGATGGAAAAGCACCCAACTTCCCCCTTACATTCTTATTTACCGATTACATGATAGTTGAAATAATATAGAAATTCAAATTGCTAAACAAAGAAAATGTTTAAGCTAGGGGAAGAGTATTTAGCATCACGACAGCTATCACTTATTTATAAACCTAACAATCAGTTGTTTGTGAGTAAGACTCTGCATGGTTGCAGCTGCATGTCACTGTGAGGAGCTGTGTCACTGCTGGCAGTGAACCAGAGCTCTGCTAATAGAGCTCCCCGACTATTACCCTTACAATTCGCCTAGTTGAGGCCCGGACTGAGTTACCCTATGAACAGGTCCAATATTCATGATATGTAGGACACGAAACTGTATTTGAACTTTCAGATCAATCATTTATCGACTGCGATCGATGTACTTCACACTTTGAAATAAGTGATGTTATTTTTGTACAATGAAACATCAATATCTCGGCCATTACAATAGTAAAGTAACTATGGGTTGACGTCTGCTCGTGTTTAGGTGACTTTAGTATGATTAGCCTGATTTGAACACAGAGCTCATAATTGCATCTTTCGATGTCTACACCCAGTTTAAAATGAGTGAGAAAGTTGAGTTTTTCTGCGTAACAGTGTTCCAGTTATATTCTGGGATTTCAGCTTAATGTGGGGGATGGACAAAAGGATTAGAATCATTAGAATACGCTGTGGAAGTCTTAAAAGTCACTTTACAAAATGTTTATGTCTGTTAATTGAAACTCAAATTCACACTGTATTTACAATAACTCAGGATTTAACACAATTTCTAAAATACTACTTACAACAATGCGTCCCCATTTTTTTACTGTGATTTAGTCCTTATTTGACTATGTTTTAGTCCTAATTTGACCTTGTTTTAGTCCTAATTTGACCTTGTTTTAGTCCTAATTTGACTATCACAAAAACCCTTATTTGGCTTTATTAAAGTTCTTATTAGACAAATTTTATCCAATTGTGTCCTGATTTGACACTGTTTGAGGCAGCCACCAACAGCCAAACTAAATGATTGACAGACTAGACTGAATGATTGACAGACCAGACTGAATGTTTGACAGACCAGACTGAATGTTTGACAGACCAAACTGAATGATTGACAGACCATACTGAATGATTGACAGGCCAGACTGAATGATTGACAGACCATACTGAATGTTTGACAGACCAGACTGAATGATTGACAGACCAGACTGAATGTTTGACAGACCAGACTGAATGATTGACAGACCAGACTGAATGATTGACAGACCAGACTGAATGTTTGACAGACCAAACTGAATGTTTGACAGACCAAACTGAATGATTGACAGACCATACTGAATGATTGACAGGCCAGACTGAATGATTGACAGACCATACTGAATGTTTGACAGACCAGACTGAATGATTGACAGACCAGACTGAATGATTGACAGACCATACTGAATGTTTGACAGACCAGACTGAATGATTGACAGACCAGACTGAATGTTTGACAGACCAGACTGAATGATTGACAGACCAGACTGAATGATTGACAGACCAGACTGAATGATTGACAGGCCAGTCGGTCAATCCTCTGACACCAAATGAGAGTGGTGGTTGGTGCTGATATTTCCACTTGACTAATGCTAAGTTGGTCTCCATTATGATGCAATTAATGTAACAAATAACTTTTAAAAAGCAAACAAACAAAATGCAACCTAGCAATAATAATTTTGAAACATTGTTTCATTACCAGTTAGGTGGGGCGGTCGGGTAGCCTTGTGGTTAAAGCATTCGCTCGTCACGCCGAAGACTCGGGTTCGATTCCCGACACGGGTACAATGTGTGAAGCCCATTTCTGGTGTCCCACACCTTGTATTGCTGGAATATTGCTAAAACGGCGTAAAATCAAACTCACTCACACTCACTCACCAGTTAGGAAATGGAGGTTTCATGTCTTCAAAACACACCAGAGAAGAAGAAAAATATGTACCTATGTAAATTACTTTAAAGATTTCACAAATGAAACAGGGACTGCTCCTCAACTGATACCTGAATGGTTAGAACAGGTGGCCACTTCTTACAGGGATGTAGGGTTGAGGCAAGTAACAGACCACATACCAGTGTTCCCGTTTACTGGTAATTACCAGTTTTTTACAGGTAAAATTTGACAAGGACTGCTAATTCATGTGACTGCTTGTCCCTGTGGACCGGCAAATTGAGTACCTTATAAATCTTTCTTGTTGAACAAAACATCGGTGATATTCATGCAAGTATATTTTTCGAATGAAGTCAGCTTGTCTGTTACCTTCAGGCTTTCCCTTTGTCTATTTTTAGTGCAAGGAAATAACATTTTGCTTTGGTTTGAGGTTAAATATTGTAGCGACTTAGTCTTGAAATACCAAAAAAAAGAAAATAGTGACGGAACTTTGTGTGAATGACGTGTAGATCTAACTAAGTTACTTCAGAGATGATGTCTTGTCGAATGAATTAAAACCAGGTAATTTTTACACGTTTTTTTAATTGTTGAACATTGGGACTTACAAAAATTAGGAGGGGACAGGTAATTTTTAGTGTTGCCAGTCCACCAGGACTGGCAGTTTCAAAAGCCAGCGGGAATACTAGTACTGTCTACACACACCATTTGTTACGGATGAGATGTCAGCGTGTGTGTTTACTTTTCTGTTTCACACCTTGTGTTGGATACTTTGTTTTCAGAAATACAAGTTCTCAACTCAGCAGAGAAATGGATTTATACAGGAGACATGTTGACTGTCCAATGTGTATTTACAAAACCTCCAAACAATCAGACAGCCGTAAGAATTGAATCCCAATTCCAATTTAACCTGCGTGATAATTCAAGTCTTAACAGAGAAAGTATTGAAAGACGAATGACCGTACAGTGGAACACCTCAGAGACAATAATGATGACCTTGACCAATGTCACAATCCGTGACGTCGGCCATTACTGGTGTGGGAGTTATGACATCAACAATATTGTTGATGTCTGGGTGTATGGTATGTGAGGATTATCTACCTACTTTTCATTGTCTAGTTTAGACGATTCCATTACTTATGATGGATTAGAATATGTGTACACTTCGTTGTTTCTACAGTCTATTCAGTAGACCTATGCTTCTAGTGTGAGGTCAGACATCTTCCTGAGACAAGGGAGGTAACTGACTATAAAAGTTCAGTTTCCACCTGTTGTCTAGTTTAGACGATTCCATTACTTATAATGGATTAGAATATGTGTACACTTTGTTGTTTCTACAGTCTATTCAGTAGACCTATGCTTCTAGTGTGAGGTCAGACATCTTCCTGAGACAAGGGAGGTAACTGACTATAAAAGTTCAGTTTCCACCTGTTGTCTAGTTTAGACGATTCCATTACTTATAATGGATTAGAATATGTGTACACTTTGTTGTTTCTAGAGTCTATTCAGTAGACCTATGCTTCTAGTGTGAGGTCAGACATCTTCCTGAGACAAGGGAGGTAACTGACAATAAAAGTTCAGTTTCCACCTGTTGTCTAGTTTAGACGATTCCATTACTTATAATGGATTAGAATATGTGTACACTTTGTTGTTTCTACAGTCTATTCAGTAGACCTATGCTTCTAGTGTAAGGTCAGACAATCTTCCTGAGACAAGGGAGGTTACCGACTATAAAAGTTCAGTTTCCACCGGTGCCGAGCTAGGCTGGAATTTTGTAGTTATAATGAGTCCATAAGCAGTCCCATCAAAATCGCATAACAGAATCAATACCTGGTTCGTAAACAGTATAGTGACTTCCGTCCAGATTTCAGTTGACTGCAGTATTTGCCAAGTGTGTGTACCGTCACCTGGGCATCAACAGATGTTTTCCAAATCTTTTCATGTTTTTAACTTGCTCAAGTGATTTGATGCACTTTGCAGGGTAAAATCCGTTTGATTACAATATAGATCTTGATTATCCATCAGATTTTCTTGACTGGGCACCACCGTTTTGTATTTGTTTAAAGCATCTGATTGGTCAAAAGGAGTGACATAGAACTCGTAATAGGCTCTTGTGGCGTTACGATCGAGCCGCAAAACTGCTACCAAGTTCGGCAGGGGGGAAAGATTTATGGTCAAAAGGAGTGACATATAACTCGTAACAGCCACTGGTGGCGTTACGATTGAGCCACAAAATTGCTACCGAGTTCGTCAGGGGTGGAAGATTTATGGTCAAAAGGAGTGACATATAATTCGTAACAGCCACTGGTGGCGTTAAGATTGAGCCACAAAATTGCTACCGAGTTCGTCAGGGGTTGAAGAATTATGGTCAAAAGGAGTGACATAGAACTCGTAATAGCCACAGGTGGCGTTACGATCGAGCCGCAAAATAGCTATGGAGTTCGGCAGGGGTGGAACATTTACAGTCAGTTATCTTCCTTGCCTCAGGAAGATGAGGGTAGTTATGCCAACTCTGGCTACTCTTGTTAATGTATTAATAACTGTCTCAGTCTTTATTCAATGATTTCAGAAGTACACAGAGCAGTAGAAATGGACACTAGTCTTGTAGTCCTTGCCAAGCTGCCAAATGGTCAAGGTATCAAAAGGACTAGTAGACATTTGCCCTTTTTAAAGGTTTTGCTACATGTTATCATTATGAGGACTAGCGGACTAAAAATGTTAGTTTCTACCAGTGATACAGAAACCTTGTTGACATACTTGGTTCAACTTAGTGTGCCAGGTCATTCAGAGTTTCAAACACGCACAGTACCGTATTCGACGTAATAAGCGCCCGCTCTAATAAGAGCCCACAGCGATATTTGCTAATATATTGGCTAGTGAACAATCCCAGTTAGCACCCCTTCCAATTGATCAATGTACACAAGACTTATTTATTTGTGTATGATACGTGTTATATGCATCCTTAATTATGGGGAATTAGATTCTGGAAAAATGTATCTTGTCGTATATAAACGTTTCTGGCTGTAAGCATAAACCACGAAATTTACGATCTTTTAACCCTGTTGTTTTTCACCAAAATAAGATTCTAATAAGAGCCCCCTATTTCTAATTTTGAGAGCCCCCTGGGCGCTTATTATGTTGAATATGTTATTCAAATTAGACATGAAACCTATAGACTAAGTATTAAAATACACAATATTACATTAGTGTTTGTGACTTGAGTAATTTCACATTTCGGTTTCACGCCTTCCTCAACTTTTATTACTGGAGTGATGGATTATGAGCCTAGTGGTTGAAGCAATTGCTTGTCGTGCCAGACCCAAGTTTTCATTCAAAATGTGCAATGTGTGGAACCAATTGTTGGTGTTCTGTGTCGCGGTATTGCTGGAATGTTGATAAAATGGCATAAAAACACACACACATGCCAATTTACAACTGCTGTATGTTTTGTGTTTGCATGTCCGAAATCGAACCCAGGTCTTCGGCATGATGAGCAAACGCTTTAACCACCAGGCTAGTCCTGACCGCCCTTTGCAATTAAGAATACATGACATGACACTAGGGTCTTGCTGCTGTGGCAGATATGTCAAGGCACCAGGTGGGTTAGACTAATCTATCATCTCTGAAATGAACATATCTCACATCTCACATCTCACATCTCACATCTCGGCTGTAGACCCAGTACAGTCAAACTCCATTTCTGGTTGGTCTCAATCGCAAAATGAGTTTCAGCGTGTGTTATTGTGTATCAGTGTTTCTTGACTTTCTTATATATCTCTGTATACTGGATGTGTCATGTGTCAGTATACTGGATATCATCACACGCAATAGAAGCAGGAATAGGGAAGATGTCAAGGTTTCGGATGTTCATGGTCAGTCAGTACATGTATCACCATCACTCATGCTTGGGAAGCAAAGGAAACAAATTGGTTAGGCACTAATAACTTAATTGCTAGATTATCATCACCTTTTTTTTCAAAAGTAGGGAGGAAGGCTTTTTATTTTTTATTTTCAATTTTCCTTTAAAGTCGTCAAGTTGAAGACTGGACACCTTGGTATGATGTCGAACAATATATGACTCAAATGACAAAGATAATAAATAAACATTCATTTCAAAAGTAGTATTGGATGTATCTGTGTCAAACCTATTTTCGTTTTCCCTGTACTCGTGCGTTTATGAATTTTTCCGTTAACTTGTCAAGTTCACCACAAGCAAACTTTTCCATAAGAGTCATTGACTCTCTCAAAGGATATCAGCAATTCGTGATTTTCAGATCCCTTCATATTTTCAAAACAGCGAGCGCCATCTTGACAGCTGCCAGCAAGCAGATGATAGGCAGGCACCCACGGAGAGTTGAGAGTCGGTTGTAGAGGAGTTCATGGCATGTCGTAAACATGAAATGGCTGTTTGACAGCTGTTTGTTACAGTGCTCTAAACATTTCACTCGGGTAAATAAGATGAATTTGTCAAGGGGTTTAGTCGTCAGGCGGGCAGGAGTGATAATCTAGCAATTAATTTGTTATTGCCTTAGTTAGGATAAGTATTACTAAATTCACAAAAATATGTGTTTAGGACCAGCCATCGAACCAGAAGCAAGGGAGTTAACCGACTATAAAAGTCAACTTTCCACCCTTGCTGAACTAGGCTGGCATTATGGAGTTATATTTTGGCTGGACTAGCGAGTCGTTGCATATTCCTATCAAAATCTGGTTCGTAAACTGGTTTGCAGATTTCGGTCAATTGCAGGAATTGCAAAGCATGTGTACCGCCGACTCAGCATCAACAGATATTTTCCAAATCTCTTTGTGTTTTTAATCAAGCTGCTCTCGTGATTTGATGCACTTCGCTAAGTAAGTAAGAGCTGTTTTATCACAATATAGATTATGATTATTGATCAGTTTGTCTTTACTGGGTGCAGCCATTTTGTTGAAAGCAAATACAGACAGACAGAAGTGATATGAGAGGTGGAATCTGATTGGTCAATACGAGGGAAATAGAAGGGACATAACTCATAATAGCCATTGGTTGCACTACGATCAAGCCCAGAAATTACATGATATTACAGTGTATCTTGAGCATTATGTTACGTTACGATAACATTACACTACATTGCATTACATTACACAGAGAATCTCACCTGAGTGTCTTTTGATATCAAATATATCAACACGAGTGGAAAAACTCTGAGACTTGCCGAGGAGTTTTTCTACTTTTATCAACGAGTGTTGATATACATGTATTTGATATCAAAAGACACGAGGGTGAGATTTTATTTATCATTCTTACAACTTTTTCAGTTTGAAGACAGTAATAAGCAGTGTCTTTAGTGTAAAAAGTACTGCTAACAGCTTCAGTAGCAGAGCTATTAGTGATAGAGACCCAAGCGATATCTTCTGTGGGAGCCAGTTCAGGATGATAAATCATGTTACGTTACGTTATGTTACGTTACGTGTCAGACTCGGAGACAATAAGGTTTCACTGTAGGAAAGTTAGTAACTGTGGAAGTCAGCTCTGTCCTCCTTTAGAAAATGCCACTTAAAGTCAGTCTTGTGTGAATTCTGCAGTCTTTCTTGTTATGTGACTTAGGCCACTATATCGGCCCAGTTGAGTTTTGTTACTGTTCTGATGACATTCCCTCTTAACCAAACACTTGCCTCCTGACATTCCTGTGACGTCCTACACTGAGTGTTGTGTCAGCTTTAGCTTTCACCTCTTTGTCAGCCATGTAAACTATTTTGACGGCTTTTGTTCACTACAAAAAAGATTACTTGGGCATACGTGTTTGACTACAATAAATGTATGCATCAGCTTCATGGTGTTTGTAACCAGGATATGATGAGGTTTGTACAGATTAGACGAAATTTGAATCATCTGTGGATTGTAAATATTGCACATTTAGGCTTAAAAAAATTAAAATAATAGGTTCTCAGGCAATGGCGTTTGAAAATATAGAGCGGGCGGGCGATGTGTTTGTTTTGGTTTTTTTGTTGTTCAAACTAGTATGTAGCCAAATAAACAGATGTGTAACCAAATAAACAGTTGTGTACAATCAACCTGGGAAAGGGCCTCCCTACATTAATGTATTCCTTAATGAGTAAATTACTTGGAATATTTGTGGATTTTTCTTGTTTTTAAAAAAAAATGGAAATGAAAATGCGGCAAACTTTATGATGATGCGGGCGGTGCCTGAGAACCAAGACTATTATTTTTTTTAGCCTAAGTAGGTTTTTCCGTAATGAGTCTTTTTCCTGTGCCCTATTTTTCAGAAGTATTATTCTCATGGCAAGTTTGACTCACGTCATTCAATCCCCCTTGGTCTCAAATTTAATTATGTGTATTAATAATTGATTGCATCACTTTATACTGTGGGGACCAGGTAGAATGTATCACTCCCTCTAGTAAAACATCTTACACAATGCTTAAATACTGAACGTTAATTCCCTGCGCTTTCCATCAAGCGTACATGCTGACATTACAGTGATATTTTGAGTATTAGGCCAAAAACTACATTGTATCGCTTCAGGGGAATATGAACAGAAAATAGGTAACAAACTTGGTCAACAAAAATGTGAAAATTGCGATAAAACATCACTAGACATGATGATTTACCATCTCAATTGTATTTCCTGTTCTGCTAGGCATTGTTTTCTATGCAGAGATTAAGATTACTGTGTGTATTTATCTCCTAAACTAAGCCAAAAATAGCAATCAGCTGTACACATATTTTCTCCAGGATCTAACCGTGACTCGGTTAAAAAAGTACACAATACAGTTAAGTCTCGTTAATCCAACAATTGGCTTTATCCCACACAAATGCTGGGAACCGATTAAATCAGTGCTATTTAGACCCGTTAATCCGACAGTCCGACTCCAACACACCTAATTTGCAACGAATTGCTGAAATCACTCATTAATCAGTCTTGTGGGGGGCACGGGTGGCCCAGTCGTCTTAGGAGCCGCGATTCGCTGTGCAGAGTTGCGTCCCTTGGTCACGCCAGAAACCTATGATTGTGGGTTCGAATCGCGGTTTGCCCCAATTATGTTGCTAGGTTTGTCAGCACCATACCCGTGCTCGTGGGTTTCACCGAAGCGGTAAACGTCTGAAACCTGCATCACTTCAGGCTTTCCTCCCACATTAAGCTGACAAGCCGCGATAATAACTGGAATACTGTTAAAAGCGGCATTAAACCCAATTCACACACACACGAGAGTACACAGAACCGTGTTTTGACGAGTCGGTGAGTAGCTGCACATTTCAACGGCTGCAGAGATAAACTTGCTTAACAATAAACAATTACTGCTTTAAATAAACTAAACAGGATTATTCACATGCCCAGATCGTTATCTATCGTGTAGTTGTCCAATTTTCGATCACAAACATTGATACTACCTAATTTCGTTTTTCCTACATACTCGTTAATCCGACATAATCATTTGCAACCAACAATGTCGGATTAACAGGACTTGACTGTAATATTACTTTAAGGTATTTTGATGCAATGATTGTATCTGAAACTATTTTTTTTCAAGCAATGATATATTCCAATATCGGGTTACTTTAGGTGCAGCTTTATAAATTATTAATATTAACCATAAGCGTAGCACTTTGATATAAAGCAAGAATTATTTTACATATGGAACAGATTGGAGGGCCACCATTTGCTTGCTTATTTGATTGCGAAAAGAATATGTTGACATGTAATCGTTAAACTTCCACAAATGTGACTTTTTAAGAATCAAAATATATCACTTATGATATATGTATCCATTCTCTGTCAACTGACGTTAGTTTCAAAGCACCAATAGCTGTAATCTGATTGTCGTTGCTGTAAATAACAGTGAGTTGGAGCGATCTGCCTATCAGCTGAGACACTCAAAACTTTGCTGAAATTAATGTGAACAGTAATGTGTGAATCAAATAGATTTCAAACATAAATCCAGACCTATAATTAACTCTCTTTATAACCAGATAGTGTAATAACAGGATTAACTTGATACTGTGTCAAGTGCCTCCCACCAGAGACCATATAACAGATAATTATATGGTCTCTGCTCCCACCCCACTGTTTTTCAAAATTTGGATGAGGATCTGGAAATGGCCCTGTGTGCAACATAATTCACGGAAACGGGGGAAATATCATCATAATTTTACAACAAATATATTATGGTAAAGTTGATAAGACATTATTTTGTATTTAAACCAAAACAATTTTATTCACTGATGTCCTAATTTGTTCTGATTAAAATTCATGGTTTTATTATTTTAAAAATGAGTACATTATTTGATCAAATTTATCTGTCAATTAGCAGAAAAAGTAGTCGAAACTTAACATCTTTAAAATGTAAATTTCAGCAACACAATCTCAACAAGACGGTTATCACCAAAGGGTTCTGGTTATGGGTAAGCATAGGTCCAAAGTACTGAAGCCAATTTAATCAATTACTCATTTTATCCCCAGAATACCTGAAGGGAGGAAGGGGAAAATATATTAATACCTGTATATCTCTTTCTAAGATGAAAACAATCAACAATTGAATTGATGACTAAATTGTGCCTATTACCATATTTTTTTGTATATAATGCCAAAATTATGATCCCTTCTCTTCAGTATAAGACTTTGCTAATGCAAGTGTGCAGTCAGGTTGTGCAAACGCTGTGCAGTCAAGTTGTGCAAGCACTATGCAGTCAGGTTGTGCAAGCACTGTGCAGTCAGGTTGTGCAAACCCTGTGCAGTCAGGTTGTGCAAGCACTATGCAGTCAGGTTGTGCAAGCACTATGCAGTCAGGTTGTGCAAGCACTGTGCAGTCAGGTTGTGCAAACGCTGTGCAGTCAGGTTGTGCAAGCACTATGCAGTCAGGTTGTGCAAACGCTGTGCAGTCAGGTTGTGCAAGCACTATGCAGTCAGGTTGTGCAAGCACTGTGCAGTCAGGTTGTGCAAGCACTGTGCAGTCAGGTTGTGCAAACACTGTGCAGTCAGGTTGTGCAAACACTGTGCAGTCAGGTTGTGCAAACGCTGTGTTATTAGCTGAACAATCAGCTTATGCAAATGCTGTGCAGTCAGGTTATGCAGGCATTGTGCATATCTCTTTCTAAGATGAAAACAATCAACAATTGAATTGATGACTAAATTGTGCCTATTACCATATTTTTTTGTATATAATGCCAAAATTATGATCCCTTCTCTTCAGTATAAGACTTTGCTAATGCAAGTGTGCAGTCAGGTTGTGCAAACGCTGTGCAGTCAAGTTGTGCAAGCACTATGCAGTCAGGTTGTGCAAGCACTGTGCAGTCAGGTTGTGCAAACCCTGTGCAGTCAGGTTGTGCAAGCACTATGCAGTCAGGTTGTGCAAGCACTATGCAGTCAGGTTGTGCAAGCACTGTGCAGTCAGGTTGTGCAAACGCTGTGCAGTCAGGTTGTGCAAGCACTATGCAGTCAGGTTGTGCAAACGCTGTGCAGTCAGGTTGTGCAAGCACTATGCAGTCAGGTTGTGCAAGCACTGTGCAGTCAGGTTGTGCAAGCACTGTGCAGTCAGGTTGTGCAAACACTGTGCAGTCAGGTTGTGCAAACACTGTGCAGTCAGGTTGTGCAAACGCTGTGTTATTAGCTGAACAATCAGCTTATGCAAATGCTGTGCAGTCAGGTTATGCAGGCATTGTGCAGTCAGGGTGTGCAAATGCTGTGCAGTCAGGATGTGCAAATGCTGTGCAATCAGATTATGCATATGCTGTGCAGTCAGGTTGTGCAAACGCTGGTATAAGGGATTTATACTGTCCCTGAGAAATCCATGTGCCAACTGTATTGCTTGTGGTGGGGAATAAGGGATTTATACTGTCCCTGAGAAATCCATGTGCCAACTGTATTGCTCGTGGTGGGGAATAAGGGATTTATACTGTCCCTGAGAAATCCATGTGCCAACTGTATTGCTCGTGGTGGGGAATAAGGGATTTATACTGTCCCTGAGAAATCCATGTGCCAACTGTATTGCTCGTGGTGGGGAATAAGGGATTTATTCATCCGCTGAGATATTTATTCCCCTCCAAGGCAGGATACACAGTATTTTATCAAGATCACTTGGACCATTCTGATCATTCTGACATGGAGGTCTGATACAATAGCTAAACAACTTACCTGTAGGCCTGGCAATGTTTTACCCTGAAATAGTGGACTGTTCTGACATCATACACTCTGCTTCCTGTGTCCTTCAGCAAGTGTTTTCTAACTAACAGCTGGCGCTTTTTCTGCTTTCTTTTGCTTTGCACATTCATAGTGTTCGCCATCTGTGTATTATATTGCAAATATTTGTGTAAAATATGTCACATATTTGCTAACCTGTTAGTGATGGATTTACTCAAACACAGAATATGTATGAAATCACAAAACATAGTTAAAACTGAATCTAAAAGTTAATAGATGCTTTATGTGCTCAAATTTGTAAAATAATATGATGATGGGTAATCCTTTATTTATTACTTTGGTCATAGATTTTGCTGTTATTATTTATGAAAAAGACTTTTTTTAAATTTTTTAATGTTGATGCTTATTGAAATATAGATATCATTTTGATACATATTGGTGAATAGATGACCAGTTGTTGATTCAAACGATTCTCATCTGGGACCTTTCCACTTAAAACGATCTTAGTGCTACAATTGTTGTCAGACTGTGTTATGATTATCTTGTCGTATCTTATCTTATCTTATTCACAATGCAATCTAAGCATCATGATCATCATAAGTCAGTGTAATAAGTATGGCAATTACTCTTAGCACTGAGATCGTTTTGGGGAACCGGGCTCATCATTTTTAGTAGTATTTGAGGTGTCTTTGTCTAATCCATGTGTTTATATGCATGTATTCCATGTGTGTATCAGATCCCCTGCAGCGACCTGAAAATGTCAAATGTGTGTTCCATGCCAAGAAGACAGTCAACTGTACTTATGATGTGCCTAACAACACGGAACACAACTTCTACACATGCTACGTTGGAGCCTGCTATCAGAATAACTGGTATGTAGTTGGTTCCCATGTTGTTCAGCACAGTGCACACCTTTTTTCCTAAACCTACAGATGTGTAGGGTTGATGTTTTTGTTTGTTTGTTGTTTAACACTGCACTCAGCAATATTCAAGCAAAATAATCAAGTCTGGACCACACAATCCAGTGATTGACATCATGAGCATCTGTCCACGCAGTTGGGATACAATTACATGCATCAACCAAGTCAGCTAGCCTGACCATCGGATCCTGTTTATAATAGTTGCCTCTTACAACAAGCACAGCTGCCATTTATGGCAAGAATGGGCTTATGTTCCCTTGATGATCTCCAGTACCCAATGCTTGTCTCTCTTTGATGGTCACCTGCGTACCCCATGCTTGTCTCCCTTTTATGATCTCCAGTACCCCATGATTGTCTCCCTTTGATGACCTCCAGTACCCCATGCTTGTCTTCCTTTGATGACCTCCAGTGCCCTATGCTTTTCTCCTTACGATGAACTCGAGTACCCCATGCTTGTCTCTCTTTGATGACCTCCAGTGCCCTATGCTTGTGTCTTGCGATGACCTCCAGTACCCAATTAATGTCTCCTTGTGATGAACTCCAGTACCCCATGCTTCTGTCTTGTGTTGATCTCCAGTACCCCATGCTTGTGTCTTGCGATGACCTCCAGTACCCCATTGTTGTCTCGTTGTGATGACCTCCAGTGCCCCATGCTTGTGTCTTGTGATGACCTCCAGTGCCCCATGCTTGTGTCTTGTGATGACCTCCAATGCCCCATGCTTGTGTCTTGTGATGACCTCCAGTACCCCATGCTTGTGTCTTGTGATGACCTCCAGTGCCCCATACTTGTGTCTTGTGATGAACTCCAGTGCCCCATGCTTGTCTTTCTTTGATGACCTCCATTACCTCATGATTGTCTCACTTTGATGATCTCCAGTACCCAATGCTTGTCTCTCTTTGATGACCTCCAGTACCCCATGCTTGTCTCCCTTTGATGACCTCCAGTGCCCCATGCTCGTGTCTTGTTATGACCTCCAGTACCCCATGCTTGTGTCTTGTGATGACCTCCAGTGCCCCATACTTGTGTCTTGTGATGACCTCCAGTGCCCCATGCTTGTCTCTCTTTGATGATCTTCAGTACCTCATGATTGTTTCCCTTTGATGATCTCCCTTACCTCATGATTGTCTCCCTTTGATGATCTCCAGTACCCCATGCTTGTCTCTCTTTGATGACTTCCACTACCCCATGCTTGTCTTCCTTTAATGACCTCCAGTACCTCATGATTGTCTCCCTTTGATGATCTCCAGTACCCCATGCTTGTCTCTCTTTGATGACCTCCAGTACCCCATGCTTGTCTCCCTTTGATGACCTCCAGTACCCCATGCTTGTCTTCCTTTGATGACCTCCAGTACCCCATGCTTGTCTCCCTTTCATGAGCTTCAGTACCTCATGATTGTCTCCCTTTGATGATCTCCAATACCCCATTCTTGTCTCCTTGCGATGAACTCCAGTACCCCATGCTTGTCTGTCGTTGATGATCTCCAGTACCCCATGCTTGTTTCCGTTTTATGATCTCCAGTACCCCATGCTTGTCTCTCTTTGATGACCTCCAGTGCCCCTTGCTTGTGTCTTGCGATGACCTCCAGTACCCCATGCTTGCCTCCTTGCGATGAACTCCAGTACCCCATGCTTGTCTCTCTTTGATGACCTCCAGTGCCCTATGCTTGTCTCCTTACAATTAACTCCAGTACCCTATGCTTGTCTCTCTTTGATGACCTCCAGTGCCCTATGCTTGTGTCTTGCCATGACCTCCAGTACCCCATGCTTGTGTCTTGCGATGACCTCCAGTACCCCATTGTTGTCTTGTTGTGATGACCTCCAGTGCCCCATGCTTGTGTCTTGTGATGACCTCCAGTGCCCCATGCTTGTGTCTTGTGATGACCTCCAGTGCCCCATACTTGTGTCTTGTGATGACCTCCAGTACCCCATGCTTGTGTCTTGTGATGACCTCCAGTGCCCCATACTTGTGTCTTGTGATGAACTCCAGTACCCCATGCTTGTGTCTTCTGTTGATCTGCAGTACCCCATGCTTGTGTCTTGTGTTGATCTGCAGTACCCCATGCTTGTGTCTTGCAATGACCTCCAGTGCCCCATACTTGTGTCTTGTGATGAACTCCAGTACCCCATGCTTGTGTCTTGTGTTGATCTGCAGTACCCCATGCTTGTGTCTTGTGTTGATCTGCAGTACCCCATGCTTGTGTCTTGTGTTGATCTGCAGTACCCCATGCTTGTGTCTTGCAATGACCTCCAGTGCCCCATGCTTGTGTCTTGTGATGACCTCCAGTGCCCCATGCTTGTGTCTTGTGATGACCTCCAGTGCCCCATACTTGTGTCTTGTGATGACCTCCAGTGCCCCATGCTTGTGTCTTGTGATGACCTCCAGTGCCCCATGCTTGTGTCTTGTGATGACCTCCAGTACCCCATGCTTGTGTCTTGTGATGACCTCCAGTACCCCATGCTTGTGTCTTGCTATGACCTCCAGTACCCCATTGTTGTCTCGTTGTGATGACCTCCAGTGCCCTATGCTTGTGTCTTGCGATGACCTCCAGTGCCCCATGCTTGTGTCTTGTGATGACCTCCAGTACCCCATGCTTGCGTCTTGTGATGACCTCCAGTACCCCATGCTTGTGTCTTGTGATGACCTCCAGTGCCCCAAGCTTGAGTCTTGTGATGACCTCCAGTGCCCCATACTTGTGTCTTGTGATGACCACCAGTACCCCATGCTTGTGTCTTGTGATGATCTCCAGTGCCCCATGCTTGTGTCTTGTGATGACCTCCAGTACCCCATGCTTGTGTCTTGTGATGACCTCCAGTGCCCCATGCTTGTGTCTTGTGATGACCTCCAGTACCCCATGCTTGTGTCTTGTGATGACCTCCAGTGCCCCATGCTTGTGTCTTCTGATGACCTCCAGTACCCCATGCTTGTGTCTTGTGATGACCTCGAGTGCCCCATGCGTGTGTCTTGTGATGACCTCCAGTTAGTTGGTTTGCTGTATATGACAAAATCTGTTTCCAGGAATCCAAATAACACAACATGCACAGATCCAGGCAGGAGACAGAAGTTACAAAACACAACCATTCCCCGTCAGTGTAATTTTGATTGCCACCCACCTGGTGCTGTTGATCAATGCCTGGAGGATGCCTTCATTATCATCATCAGCGGCCGACAGCCCAACAAAGAGGTGTCCTACTGCAGTAGTTTCAACCTCAAACAGATCGGTAAGTTGCCCTCAGTTGTCTAACATCATTCTCAGTAGACTTGGATGTCAATCCATAGACATTTGACATCATCCCACCTGTCACCTCCAACCTGTCACATGTCCCACCTGTCACGTCCCAGTCATACATCCCACCTGTCACATCTCCCAGTCATACATCCCACCTGTCACATCTCCCACCTGTCATATCCTCCACCTGTCACATCTCCCAGTCATACATCCCACCTGTCACATCTCCCACCTGTCACATCTCCCAGTCATACATCCCACCTGTCATATCTCCCAGTAATACATCCCACCTGTCACATCTCCCAGTCATACATCCCACCTGTCACATCTCCCACCTGTCACATCTCCCAGTCATACATCCCACCTGTCACATCTCCCAGTCATATATCCCACCTGTCACATCTCCCACCTGTCATATCCTCCACCTGTCATATCTCCCAGTCATACATCCCACCTGTCACATCTCCCAGTCATACATCCCACCTGTCACATCTCCCAGTCATACATCCCACCTGTCACATCTCCCAGTCATACTTCCCACCCGTCACATCTCCCAGTCATACATCCCACCTGTCACATCTCCCAGTCATATATCCCACCTGTCACATCTCCCACCTGTCATATCCTCCACCTGTCACATCTCCCAGTCATACATCCCACCTGTCACATCTCCCAGTCATACATCCCACCTGTCACATCTCCCAGTCATACTTCCCACCCGTCACATCTCCCACCTGTCACATCCTCCACCTGTCACATCTCCCAGACATACATCCCACTTGTCACATCTCCTATCAGTCACATCCTCCACTTGTCACATCTCCCAGACATACATCCCACCTGTCACATCTCCCAGTCATACATCCCACCTGTCACATCTCCCACCTGTCATATCCTCCACCTGTCACATCTTCCAGTCATACATCCCACCTGTCACATCTCCCAGTCATACATCCCACCTGTCATATCTCCCACCTGTCACATCTCCCAGTCATACATCCCACCTGTCATATCTCCCTGTCATACATCCCACCTCTCACATCTCCCATTCATACATCCCACCTGTCACATCTCCCACCTGTCACATCTCCCAGTCATACATCCCACCTGTCACATCTCCCAGTCATACATCCCACCTGGCACATCTCCCAGTCATATATCCCACCTGTCACATCTCCCACCTGTCATATCCTCCACCTGTCACATCTCCCAGTCATACATCCCACCTGTCATATCTCCCAGTCATACATCCCACCTGTCACATCTCCCAGTCATACATCCCACCTGTCACATCTCCCAGTCATACATCCCACCTGTCACATCTCCCAGTCATACATCCCACCTGTCACATCTCCCAGTCATATATCCCACCTGTCACATCTCCCACCTGTCATATCCTCCACCTGTCACATATCCCAGTCATACATCCCACCTGTCATATCTCCCAGTCATACATCCCACCTGTCACATCTCCCAGTCATACATCCCACCTGTCACATCTCCCAGTCATACTTCCCACCCGTCAGATCTCCCACCTGTCACATCCTCCACCTGTCACATCTCCCAGTCATACATCCCACCTGTCACATCTCCCACCTGTCACATCTCCCACCTGTCACATCCTCCACTTGTCAAATCTGCCAGACATACATCCCACCTGTCACATCTCCCAGTCATACATCCCACCTGTCATATCTCCACCCGGTCATATCCTCCACCTGTCACATCTCCCAGTCATACATCCCACCTGTCACATCTCCCAGTCATACATCCCACCTGTCATATCTCCCAGTCATACTTCTGACCTGTCACATCCCACCTGTCATATCAGTCATACATCCCACCTGTCATATCTCCCAGTCATTCTTCCCACCTGTCACATCTCCCAGTTATACATCCCACTCATCACATCTGTCAGATCTCCCACCTGTCATATCTCCCAGTCATACATCCGACCTGTCACATCTCCCACCTGTCATATCCTCCACCTGTCACATCTCCCAGTCATACATCCCACCTGTCACATCTCCCACCTGTCATATCTCCCCGTCATACATCCCAACTGTCACATCTCCCTCCTGTCACATATACCACCTGTCATATCTCCCCGTCATACATCCCACCTGTCACATCTCCCACCTGTCACATCTCCCACCTGTCATATCTCCCAGTCATACATCCCACCTGTCATATCTCCCAGTCATACATCCTATCTGTCACATCTCCCAGTCATACATCCCACCTGTCACATCTCCCACCTGTCATATCCTCCACCTGTCACATCTCCCAGTCATACATCCCACCTGTCACATCTCCCAGTCATACATCCCACCTGTCATATCTCCCAGTCATACTTCCCACCTGTCACATCCCACCTGTCATATCAGTCATACATCCCACCTGTCATATCTCCCAGCCATACATCCCACCTGTCACATCTCCCAGTCATACATCCCACCTGTCTCATCTCCCAGTCATACATCCAACCTCTCACATCCCCACTTGTCACATCTCCCATTCATACATCCCACCTGTCACATCTCCCAGTCATACATCCCACCTGTCACATCTCCTAGTCATAAATCACATCTGTCACATCTCCCACCTGTCATATCTCCCAGTCATACATCCCACCTGTCACATCTCCCACTCATTCCCGGACCTGTCACATCTCCAAACTGTCACATCTCCTAGTCATACATCCCACCTGTCACATCTTCCCACCTGTCACATCTCCCAGTCATACATCCCCCCTGTCACATCTCCCAGTCATACATCCCACCTGTCACATCCCCACCTGTCACATCTCCCACTCATACATCTCCCACCTGTCACATCTCCCAGTCATACATCCCACCTGTCACATCCCCACCAATCTCATCTCCCAGTCATACATCACACCTGTCACATCTCCCTCGAGTCATATCTCCCAGTCATACATCTCCCACCTGTCACATCCCCACCTGTCATATCTCCCAGTCATACATTTCCCACCTGTCACATCCCCACCTGGCACATCTCCCAGTCATACATCCCACCTGTCACATCCCCACCTGTCACATCTCCCAGTCATACATCCCACCTGTCACATCTCCCACCTGTCACATCTCCCAGTCATACATCCCACCTGTCACATCCCACCTGTCACATCTCCCAGTTATACATCCCACCTGTCATATCTCCCAGTCAAACATCCCACCTGTCACATCACCCACCTGTCATATCAGTCATACATCCCACCTGTCATATCTCCCCGTCATACATCCCACCTGTCACATCTCCCAGTCATACATCCCATCTGTCACATCTCCCAGTCATACATCCCACCTGTCACATCTCCCAGTCATACATCCCACCTGTCACATCCCCACCTGTCACATCTCCCAGTCATACATCTCCCACCTGTCACATCTCCCAGTCATACATCCCACCTGTCACATCTCCCAGTCATACATCACACCTGTCACATCTCCCTCCAGTCATATCTCCCAGTCATACATCTCCCACCTGTCACATCCCCACCTGGCACATCTCCCAGTCATACATCCCACCTGTCACATCTCCCACCTGTCATATCTCCCCGTCATACATCCCACCTGTCACATCTCCCACCTGTCACATCTCCCAGTCATACATCCCACCTGTCACATCCCACCTGTCACATCTCCCAGTTATACATCCCACCTGTCATATCTCCCAGTCAAACATCCCACCTGTCACATCACCCACCTGTCATATCAGTCATACATCCCACCTGTCATATCTCCCCGTCATACATCCCACCTGTCACATCTCCCACCTGTCATATCTCCCCGTCATACATCCCAACTGTCACATCTCCCTCCTGTCACATATACCACCTGTCATATCTCCCCGTCATACATCCCACCTGTCACATCTCCCACCTGTCACATCTCCCACCTTTCATATCTCCCAGTCATACATCCCACCTGTCATATCTCCCAGTCATACATTCTATCTGTCACATCTCCCAGTCATACATCCCACCTGTCACATCTCCCACCTGTCATATCCTCCACCTGTCACATCTCCCAGTCATACATCCCACCTGTCACATCTCCCAGTCATACATCCCACCTGTCATATCTCCCAGTCATACTTCCCACCTGTCACATCCCACCTGTCATATCAGTCATACATCCCACCTGTCATATCTCCCAGCCATACATCCCACTTGTCACATCTCCCAGTCATACATCCCACCTGTCTCATCTCCCAGTCATACATCCAACCTGTCACATCCCCACTTGTCACATCTCCCAGTCATACATCCCACCTGTCACATCTCCCAGTCATACATCCCACCTGTCACATCTCCCAGTCATAAATCACATCTGTCACATCTCCCACCTGTCATATCTCCCAGTCATACATCCCACCTGTCACATCTCCCAGTCATTCCCAGACCTGTCACATCTCCAAACTGTCACATCTCCTAGTCATACATCCCACCTGTCACATCTCCCACCTGTCACATCTCCCAGTCATACATCCCACCTGTCACATCTCCCACCTGTCATATCCTCCACCTGTCACATCTCCCACTCATACATCCCACCTGTCACATCTCCCAGTCATACATCCCACCTGTCACATCCCACCTGTCATATCAGTCATACATCCCACCTGTCATATCTCCCAGCCATACATCCCACTTGTCACATCTCCCAGTCATACATCCCACCTGTCACATCCCCACTTGTCATATCTCCCACTCATACATCCCACCTGTCATATCCTCCACCTGTCACATCTCCCACTCATACATCCCACCTGTCATATCTCCCAGTCATACATCCCACCTGTCATATCCTCCACCTGTCACATCTCCCACTCATACATCCGACCTGTCATATCTCCCAACCATACATCCCACTTGTCACATCTCCCAGCCATACATCCCACCTGTCATATCAGTCATACATCCCACCTGTCATATCTCCCAGCCATACATCCCACTTGTCACATCTC